AAATAAGTTTGATTTTTCAGTTTGTGCAGGTACGCTGCTAAGTGTTACATAGTTCAGAAAATATGTAGACTTATTAAGAAACTCATTGTTTAATGTGGAAGCTAGAACATTTTTGTAAATACACAAAGTAGATTTCAGCAAACAAGAAGATCAAAGAGGAAGCTCAGAAAAAAGATATAAAACAGTCAAAAAATTTAGAAGTGGAATTGACTGAAGTAGTTATTAATTGCTAGATCCTTGGAAGTAGACGTCATCTGTGGAGATAGTGTTGGAAATAGACCATGCCTCCACTGAAAGAGAATTCTGTATTCAGCAAAGCTCTGGGAACCTAGATAGGAGTTTGTCAGTCTCCTTCCTTGCCCTCAGTAGATCTCAGCTAGCCTTAAGTATTTTATTTTCCTGTGTCTCCTCTTACTGTTTTTCCTCCCTATCAGTTTGCTTATTCACTTCCTTCACTGTCTTCCTTTGACCCCATACTTTTCCACTCATGGTCTCTGTTTATTCTTTTTCCACTTTTGTATAATTAATTAAATTTTCCTTTTTACCAAAGTAGTATATTATAGAATTTAAAATCACATAGTATTAAAGAGCTTATATTGAAAAACAGCAGCCCACTTTTTCCATCTATACATTCCCATCCCTACTGCCCCAGTCCCTTCCATCAAAGTCAACAGATTTTCAACTCTTAGCTTGAATAATTCTTAAACTTACCTTTATATTTTGGATAGTATGCTTATTTTGTCATTTTGTGATCTACCAAATTATCAAAGTATTTCTAGATCTCTTATGCTGGTAGGACTGCGCTCCCACAACCACCACACGGTTCTTGAATATATAACTATAGTTTATATACTGATTATATAAATATTGTTATAACTTTCCTTTGTTACCTGCTTAATGTGTAGCCCCATTTTTGATATGTATTACTTTAAATTTCATTTTAGTTTTTATTTCCATTTGGATATCTTTGTTAAATAGTAGTTATTTAGGACTGTTTTTACATAGTTTTCCCAAGATCAAATGCTAAATTGGAAA